TTTTTTTTTTTTTTTTATGCTGCGCTTCACACGCGTCGACATTTCGCGTCGAAAGGAGAGCGGAAAGTAAAGAAGTAATCGGAACGAGGAACCTTCTCGATGAGCAACGTAGCGAGAAATAACTATTTCTAGATTAACTCGACATAGTGACACACACTGTTTCATGTCACCGGTTAGATTCAGATTTTTGAAATTTAGGACAAAGATGGAGAAGATAGACTGTCCTTTGTGATGTACTGTTTGAAACATTGATTCGGATTGCCAATCAACAGGTTCTTTTGTATAGAATATAATTTACAATACTATAATATCACTTGAAATGTCAGATGTATCAAAGTCCTCGACAAAATGTGCATCAGTACACAGAGGACGAATTTATAACATGTTACAACTCCGTTTAAATAGAAAATTTGAAACATAATGGAACGTAAATGGAATTCATCGTAACTCTCTAAAAGTGTACAACAAATAAATAAATACACAGACTGCTAGAATCGATGGACAGGATCGGTTCGCCTGCTAATTGAGTAATTAATGATATCGGGCCGATGCTCGTCACATGGTTAAGTACCGTGCTTGTAATTTAAAGAGGCCTTCGAAAGCAGCATTGTGAAACTTTCGCGTTCTATTTCCTCACGGCCGTTGATATAATTGACCTGCACCAAAGAGGTGTAACGGAGCAACCTTGCCTTGTGACATTGTCGCGCATTGTCGTATCACACTGAGCAGCACGCCGATTAATAACCAACTTGTGTATCTACACTTCAGTCGTCCAAATTCTTCTAATTTTTATTACAGTACACACTCGAAACCAATACACCGACAGAGAGGTTTCTATTAACCTGAGAAAATTCTGAAAATTGTGGTTCTTTGATTAAATTTTGATTTTACGAAGTTTCCACGGTCTTACATATGTATTTGGATATGCGTTGTTTCGGAAGGATGATTGCAAAATAATTTCATTTTATAATAACTATTTTATTTACAAATTCATTCTAAAGGGGATTAGAAAGCTTTAAATCGAACAAATTGCACAAAGTTCTATTAACACGAATGGTCGTTCGGATTTTTATGTATCTATATTTTCATCAATATGACACTAAGAAATGAAGCCTAAATCAAAATTTGTCTCGTCCACTCGTACGTTTATAATCTTTAAATCTTTCATCTTTAAATATTGTACGTAGCTTTTGCGTTTCGATCTCTCACAAGTAACGCGGGATTCTTGTGAAAAATTCTTCACGCCAAATTGCCCGCGCAGAAGGAGATTTCTGTAACGTGGAACTGCGATCGATGATTTCAGGTACTGTCAGAACGAAACTTTCAAGAAGCACGGCCACGAATGCTGTCTCGTCTGAATTGGCTGCAAACGATAGCCCTCGGCCTGCTAGCTGGACTGTTGTGGCTAAGGCTTCCCAGAACAGAGGCGGCACTTCACGACATCCAAGGCTGGATGTTCTTCAGCACCACGTACTGGATGCTTTTCGCGCACTTCGGTGCACTCTCCAGTTGTAAGTCTTTCATTCTCCTTCTATATTTATCCCTACAATTTCAGAATTCTGATAGACCACGGCTTTAAGAACCATTCGCATCACGACTCGACGTCGTGAAATATTTTTATTTTTCAACGCGCGAATAATTTCGTGTAGGATTGATTCTGTTTGCACCTTCGCTCTTGGTGTGTTTGTAGGTTCAGTTAATTACGACTTGTTTGTTTGTTTGCGTTCTGTACTTCCAGTGCACGTAGTTCCCAAAACTTTTTAGAAAGGGACTCTTCGAAAATATCGACAAGAATTAGTTGCTGAGAACGAAGCTCGAAAGTTTCAACCAAGAATAAAGCAATTCACTAACCAAGTCCGCTGTTATTTACAAGAATTCTGTAATTTTCATCCAATATTCTTCTCGATAATTTATAAATATCTACACGCCAACGTTTGACTGGAAAAGATTCTCTCATTGTCGGTTCAAATTATACTTTATCAATCTTCGCGAATATACGACCAGCAAATTTCCTCAGGCGTCTGTAAATTTGTACGTCGCAGTCCACTGATCAACCTTTTGATTTCAAAAACCAGCTAACTAACTCAGTCACTCCTTACAAATACACACTGGCAAATTTCCCCGGGAATCCCCGTCATTTCTGTCGACACAATCCACCAATCACTAGTGCAACTCCCCTAGAAAGATGTCCGTCAACCACTCCTACCGAACTCTTTAATTTTCATTACGCGTTTACAAGCTACTAACTCGACCTGTTCTTCGCAAACAAACCGACCTGTAGTCTGTCAACAACTCCTTAATTTCCCCCTTCGCCCATCTCGAAGAGTCTTCTCTCTAGAGAAGAAACTTTCAGCCTGAAAAAAAAAAACGTTCCTGAACATTTGAACGAAAAGGAAAAAGAGGAAACGAAAGAAAGAAAAGCCTCGGATAGGAAGTTCTCAGGTGGCGACCAACACTAAAGAATCTAGCTGCACAACAACGCGTCGAGCCTCAGAATATATGAGGTAGATTGGTTAATTGAGCTTTGACGACGACGTGACGCTCTGAATCGGCCATTCAGTCGAACAGCGGGTTTTTTTTTATTGCAAAGATTTGCAAAGGACCACGAAGAACGGCCAATCAAGACGTTAGTATGTAGGTCGCGCCGTGACCCACTTGCCATCAGGCGAGGCAATTGAGGCCCTTTTGTCGCACGTACTTGGATCCAAAGCTCGGAACGACCGTGACGAATTTCAAACGGGGGAAGGGGAGTTCGACCGTGCGCGACGGCTTGGCAGATCGCTATTTTCTAGTGAAAAGAAGAAGACTGAGAGAAGGTTCTGACTATCTGAGATTAGTTGGAAACCTTCTTGTTGGAATTTTGGATGGATCTTCACAGTTTACGAAAAGTACACACATTTTTCAAGCGGTTCATCTTTTTGCCAGATTTCACGCTTTTTACGTTCGTAGTGAAGCAAATTTCTGTAAATTCACGTCGATGCATTGATTGAACGATTTAATATATTTATTCGGACTTGATTAATTTCGTTTATACACGCTGCCTTTCTTCTTGTTTATTGTATACATATCATGTTTTGCTGTTAAAATTGTGTTTTCCTAACAGAGAGATAAGAGTTGACGACATTTCTGCCCGTCCAATCGACGCGATACGTTGCTCTTTCTCTTCCCACGATAGTTTTCATTACAGCTGAGAACTTGGAGAAATAATCCTTTAACGTTGGCCGAGGAAACGTGGAAAACATTGGGAAGATATTGCTGGACAGTATACGCGGAAAAGTTGGTTAAGCTAAAATTCTTTGACAGCAAGTTTGCTAAACTTCTTTTAGTATCGAGTCTTTGGTTGATCTCGGCGGAAAGTCAAGTGTTTTCTTGTGTCGTCTGACGAGAGGAGATCAATGTTTAACGGCTGTTTGTGGAGTGTGAAAATGAAAGAACCGAGGAGAAACTTTGCTGTTTGAATTTTTGTAGAAATTTTTGTACTTAATATAGAAATATCTATTTGACAAATTAACAATGAGTGAATCTACTCGTTTTTCGGTAAATTTTCTTTCCAAAACCATTCGTTTCTATTGTTAATAATCACAAGTGTTCCTTGAATCAATAATCGAAATCAACGACTGATATGAAAACACAGAGCTTCGACTCTTTAAGCAAAGCTCATGACTTCTCGTGAAAAGGAGGGAAAATCGTAGAAAGGAAAAATGCGAATGAGCAACAGACGGAGAACAGATTTGAAGCAAGAAAGGATCAAAAAGGATACTTGTCGCCTGTTTTACTTTCTACTTGAGGATAAAGGACGACGACTATGAATCACGGCTAGAAATTGAACATTTCTGTGCAAATATAAATGAATGACGTGGGAAGGAATTTTTTGCATTTCTTCAAATGAAAATTTCT